ACCAATCACATGTAGATTTTTCCTATGCAATTGTGATTCTAAATAAATAATCCATTTATCCAAATATTATGACTGGCTTGAGTAATTGACTCATGGGCATTTAAGTGATCCTCATAGCGAGCCATTTTTTCTTGCATCAGTTTTAAATCACATTTAAGCTCTGCCAGTTCTTGTTCGATCAGCTTCAAGACTTACTTGAGCCAGGATCTCCTTTAACAAATCAGTGGAAGAATCTTCCTCCACCATCTCACCTGGCTCAGCAGATAGTGGCACAGTTGAAATCAAGCCAGCTGTTGAACATTTATGTCTAGTTGCCATCCCAATAGCTGATTAAAAACAAGATAATATGTAATACAAATTTATTTATGTGTGATCAAAGTCTTTGTCTACACAGTCCGATAATTCAGAAATTCGAAAGTACTTTAATTAGGAGACAGGCAAGAGACGTGCACTCACAGCGGCATCCCAAAACAGGAAGTCCCAAGTATAATGTTTTTGACTCATTTGTTTAATTGGATTTTCTTTACCTAGTTTTAGGACTTGTGTGATCACGTTTTAGGTCATATTTATGCAGACATATTGCAAATTCAAAAGGGTTCACAAACTTTTAAGCAGCACTGTACTTACTAAGCTTTACCAGGTCAAGAATCTTCTTCCCTTCATGGCAGGCAGAGGATTCTACTTGTGACAGAAGTGTTGACTATCAAATGAAAAAAGGATGATTGTCTCTGACCTTGCTGTCCAGTTGCTCAACTGAAATAGGTGCCTAATCTGTCTGATACTTTATTTGTCTGATAGGATGGCGTTTCTCTTAGGTTTGTAAGATTGGTAAATTTCAGATTTGGGTTTGCTGTGTTTGAATGTCAACTTACTCCACTCCTTGTACTTGAATATCAAAAGGCCATTAAAACAGAAGCTTGGCTTTGAAAAATAAAGAATTAACTGTAACTTTAGCCTCTGTTTTTCTTAAATGCTATCATGGATGAGATCCTGCTTGCTTCTTAAGAAACATACCTTCTTCTCTTATTGATTATCCCGTTATATTTTCCAGCTTTGCAGCAGCCCTCCAAATTGTATCAGTTAACCAAGTTACGGGATTGCAATAAATATACTATATGTCTTTCTTCGAGGTTATTCTATGGGCTAGAACTGTGAATTAAAATTGAATCTCTTTTGTATTTGAAACAAAGTAATCTTGCTCATAGGCCTACAAAAAGTAAAATATTATTCATTAAGTGGAACATAGAGTAGATCATTTTTACCACGCAGTACTAGATTGTGAGCATCCTAATTTTTTTCTATTCTAAAACACTTTTAATTGCTTAAATAATCTTGTTTATGTGAAGTTTCACAAAGAACAAGCAGCAAAATACCATTTCTAGTGGGCTGACATAGTGAACCATCCAACTGTTAGGATGCAAAGTTTACACATAATGTTTTGAAAGACCTTAGATAGGTGTCTTCCACTTCTTTATTTTCTTTATCCCATCGTCATTGTCATCATCGTCATCATCATCATCATCTTGTAAATAACTCAAGGTGGTGAATATACCTAATCCCCCTCCCTCCTCCTATTTTCCCCACAACAACAACCCTGTGAGGTGAGTTGGTCTGAGAGAGAGGGACTGGCCCAAAGTCACCCAGCCAGCTTTCATGCCTAAGGCAGGACTAGAACTCCTTGTGTGAGTTAGCCTGTCTCATAAACATTCTTTCTTCCTCTCTCTACATGTGTATGTTCATCTAATTTGTATAGATCATTTTATGATTGTAGGACTTGCATTCTGTATACTGTCAATTATCAACCATAAAAATGTCATAATAACATGGTGATTTAAAAAAAAAAAAAAGAAACACTTTTGCTGTGCTGTGAAAAAGGGATTTTTCCCCCCCCCCCGCCCCCCATCATTATAAATACTAGGCTTGACAAAAGAGCAACAATTGATTCACCAATTTTTGTTTTTTCCTGGTTACAGCCCCATATATTTCTAAAACTAGATGAGAACCAACTTTTTCACACTGCGCGTTTGGACGTGCATGCATATGTAACGAGTTTGTTGTTTTCTCTGGATTCTGCTACGTATGAAGGGGGGGGCTCACTTTTAACTAGTTTAGCACTACCTATTTAAGAAGAAAGTACTGTACTATCATGTCTGATTTATTTATTTATTTATTCAATTTATATAGCCTGTTTCTGAAGCATGGTAGGTTATATTCAGCTGAGACTGTATAGAATGGATGACTTCTTTGTTTTTCCCCTATTTTGGGGTCAATGTCTTGATCATTTAGATTGCTTGCTTATCTCAGTAAAATTATTGATGTGCAAATAATGTACTTTTGATAAGACTGCAATTAAAGTATTTGTAACACAGTTTCTTTGCAGGCGAGGAGCCGTTGCTTATTTTTCTTTTAAAAAATCAAAAAAGAAAGGTGTGCATCAACCCTTCCCCTCAATTCATAATACAAATAAATAAATAAATAATATAAATATAATGGGTTACATTAACCACCAGGAGGCACCGTGTTACCAGTTTCATCCTTTTGGGGGATGATCAAGAGGGTAACCAGATGTTGTCCTATGGGTCCAAACCCTCTACCAGGAATTGAACTTACAGATCTTTGTACTTGGATGACAATGTACAGTGCATTAACGTTAAGAGCTATCCAGGCCCTAGTGCTCAGCAGTTGAAGGAAGGGATATATAGCGGCCATCAGAATGGTATATACAGTCCATTAAGCTTTCAGAGCAGAGAGATACAGGTGTTTCTTCAGGATGGATCTAAGCTATATGTGGGGTGATAAACTTTAGCCATAGGAATCTTTTAGAAGGAGAGAAGAAGGAGGAAGGAGGAAGAGATACTTTTGCCAGTAGTTCTTTCCATTTGCTGCCCTCTCTGCCCCTGAAGGGGCAGAGCATTTTCTAAAATAGCATGGCAATGGTCTTACAGGTAAAAATTGTTCATTCTTCCCACCACATTCCCAGGGAACATTGCCTCCCTTAAAACTGCTATTTGTAATCGAAGGGAAATTTCTCAAAATCTGTCCCCCTCCCTCTCTCATGAAAATTCTTAGCCCTTGCTAGTCAGGGGCATATGAGGACTATTCATAGCAGTAATTCCATGCTACTGCAGTTCCTATGAATTTGCCCATGGTATAATACCAATCCCTTCATTATTTCTTGTGTGACATTTTTATCACACGCTTAACAAAGAATAACGATAGCTGCAAGCAAATTCAGTTTTTACTTTCGCTGCCACTGTGGCAGACTGGTCTCCTAGACAATATCATGGAAAGCTGAAAAATCATTGTGCCTCTTTTACCTGAAAGGTCTGGTTCTTTTTAAAATGTTAATTTGTGTATAGCAGGCCACTGAAAAGTGAGCATTGACAAGTATTACGTAAGAACATCTTGGAATAAATAAAGAGCAGCGAACATTATTAAATCTGTTCATGAAATATAGCAGAACGTTTGGCTTTAATGAGAAAATGCACTCTTCACTCTGCACTGGTGGGAATTCCGTTGCAGTGTGTTGTAAACCGTTTTTCTTTCTCCTTGACAGGTAATATTTGAGGCTGAAGTCTCAGATGGAAGAAATGGCTACGTTGCCATTGATGACATCCAGGTTCTGAGCTACCCTTGTGGTAAGTAATGATTAAGAGACACATTTTTCTCTGTCTTTTCTAAGAGAGGTTCAATATTGTCTGACTGGTGTTTTCATTACTCAGCCATTGGTGTCTTGCTGCCACCTCCGTTTTTCTATCTTTTTCTTTTCTAACACATTAGAAAAAGAAAATGAGAATGTCAAAGTCATGAATTTTATTTGGTTATCACATAATTACTTCAATTCAGTGATTCTCTCTCATTGTTAATAGACTGTAGTTAAAGTGAAATAATGGGTATCTAATAGTTTTATTGTGAGTTGGATTTCTAATTCATTTCATTCCCAATAATAAAAGTAGGTAACAACAATTTATAAGCCCTATTTTAAAAATGTATTGTGACAGCTCTGAAAAATGTGTTTTCAGACATGGGCAATGATTTCTCTACTGGCAAATTTTGCAATTGTTGTTGCATTTGGGGTCATGTCTTTGGAAATTCAGGGGACAGAGGATAGGGACCATGGGTAGACACCAAGCTGTGTAGAGGACAGAGGGAATGGCCTTGAAGGACAGGAGAAAGAGCTGCTACCAAGGAAAGGGTCAGAGAAGAGGGGCTTGAGCCCAGGCCAAGAAAATAACATGAGTAAACATCTCAGACAACCCCCTCTCTAGTTCACACAAAGATAAAGTGAGGGAGGGGGAAACACATTCAGACTTGCAAGATTCTGTTACTATAGCTGTTACAGTGAAAATAGTCCTGCCCTATATGGCATTGGTTTCTTAGTTTGGTCTATCCTGTTGGGCTGACAGGTTGTATTTCCAAGGATTTTACAAGTCAAATGCCTGAGTAATGAAAAGGAGTTAATAATGATAAGTCTTTGATTTAGCCATAAAAACTAGCAATAAATCAATGCATTAATATAGCTAAAATTCTGGGGCAATGTGCTTCTAGGACCTAGCATTGCTTGGATGTTTTGTACATTCTGACTGGTTGAAGTTTCCAAGATGTTCTCATAGATAGACTTGAAGAAATTCAAGAGAGTTAGTACATGTTACAGAAGAGTGTAATAACAAGTGAAATGGAGTTTGCGGAAACTAAAGTAAGCATAACTGTCAACATTGCTTATCCCTAATCTTTGGTAATTTAGGAGAGTAGTGTATGAAATCCCAGCGCTATAGGCTAGATTGGGATTTAAAAACAAAACAAACAAACAAACACAAACACGTCCTGGAAGAGGACAACGGCAAACTGCATCTGCTTTCTTGCCAAGAAAACCATGTGGACATTTCCAGGTAGTCATGAGAAGTCAGGCTCTACTTGAGGGAGTCTTTACCTTAATACAGGGCTTCTCAACCTCAGCAATTTTAAGTTGGGTGGACTTCAACTCCCAGAAGCTGACTGGAGAATTCTGGGAGTTGAAGTCCACCCAACTTAAAATTGCTGAGGTTGAGAAACACTGCCTTAATACATAACACACCCATACCTTATCTGCTGTCGCTGCCTTTTTCAACCCTATCTTTTCATACACAGGGTTTTGTCACAGAGCTTTCCCTGAGGCAATGCAGAAAGCATGCAAAGGTTTGTCACTGGGTCATATGTTAGTATGTCTGGGATGCAAATGACATTTACTGACAGGGGCTCCCCATTCCCACAACCTAACATTACACACAACTAATTAAATCTGACCCTTTGTGTTATTAATGCAGTAGTTCCATGTTGCAGAGGTTTCACACTGAATATTATTGAAATTCCCTGTTAAGATTTGTGATTTCTTTGGGGTTTTGCATCCTATTTGGCTCTTCTCCCCCATGAGCTAAAACATTTTTTTTTCTTCCATGTATACATTTCTTTTGCCCCAAAGACTCAATGTTGTGTATTTTGGGGGAGAAATGAACACGTTTTTGTGACTGTGAGCACCCTTTAGTAACTTTTTGCTTTCCCCACCTCTGCAGATAAATCTCCTCATTTCCTGAGGCTGGGGGACGTAGAGGTCAATGCAGGCCAGAATGCAACATTTCAGTGCATTGCTACAGGGAGGGATGCAGTGAAGAACAAGTTATGGCTGCAGGTAAGACTCATTCTGACCCACTTGTGGGCAGACTTTGGATAAAAACAAGGAGTCCAGTTCCTCAGTGGTTATATATGAGAGAAGCATACATTTGGCAGGGAAAAAAAACCTTCTTATTTATTATTTAACTATATCTATTTCAATTTTGTTTGCACCAGCTTGTCACAAGGAGTGTTTAAATGCCACCTCCCACTGTCTGGCTTGCACATATGGAATTTTGTTCCATTCTGTAGAACAGGCAGGAGGGATGGGGAAGACAGGAGAAAACTTCTCTACCCCATTTCCTCCTTTATCTGTGGGGTTTATTCTTTTAACTTGCAAGGTGGCAAGCTCTGTGTAGAAAATATTGGATTACTGCATCATTGGTAGGCTGGTCTTAATGAAATCAAGCTGATAAGATATTAACACAGAGCCAGCCCCAAATATTTTGCTGTCTGAGGAACAGATCAAGGTGCACCTTCTCCCACACTGCAAGGTGGTGATGTTGACTGTTCAGTTATATGTGCAGAACTGGCAATGGGACAGCATTCTCTGGTACATCTGAAAGTAGCAGCCTACTTTTGGGAACAATGGGTAAGGCATTTGGCAGGCACATGTCTGCACTGGGGCCCAGCAGCTGTCATTTATGATTATGATTATTTATTATTACTAATAATAGGGTTGTATCTCACTTATATTTTATAGAATCCAAGGTGAAATTGTGAGGTGGACTTTCATACCTAAGGGAAGGCTGGAGCTCACGGTCTCCTAGTTTCTGTTTCAGTACATTAACCACTACATAGATGAGGGCAGTTCAATCATGCATATTTATAATGTGATAACTTAACCATACAGGGTAGGCTCCAGTATTGCACTAAGATATAATGCAGTTTGCTGAGGAGTATGGTTTAGCAGGATGTATAAATTCACTTATTATGGCTTAGTATGATGTGCAAACTTAAGGCATTATGGGTTTGTTTAACAGACCTTGGTTTAACTTGCCTTGGTTTAAAAATAGTAAGTTGATTGAAAACAATTCCACCCAAATCTTGCATGTGACAGAGCAGTATAAGCAAGTCATATAAGCAGCTCAGGTATTGAGAGTCAATGTCCCTGAACATTATACACTTCTAGGAAAACAAAGCTGCATTCACTGGAGTTACAGCATTCTATTTTCAGCACTGTTCATAGGTACTGCATTGTATGGTATCTTCATTGAATTAATCCTTTCATTAAGAAGTCAGCCTTGAGCCTGCAGTTGAAAATTTTAATTATTAGAACAAGTGTTGGAATTAAACCAGTGGGAGAAAACACAGCCTGAAAGAAAGAACTCATTGGCTATTTTAGGCTCAGGGCAGAATCAGCAGACGTTATTTCAGTGGCCTGTATATGGTTTACTGGTGGATATATCAAGAAAGTGAGTCCTAACTGAATCTCCAGCATCTTCACCAATGATGAGGACTTGCCAGAACTGTCACTTGTACTCAGTGAAAAATCTCTTTTAAATTATCAGTACTTGGCAATTATTGGTCTTGGGTGGACCAGTACTTCCTTTTCCAGGGCAGAGGATAGGATAACTTGTTCTTCTGCATCTGCATTCATATCTCTTCAACTATTTCAGTCTGGAAACAGCCTGCTTGCCAGTTTAGTGAGTCTATTATGTACAGAAATGGATGTTTTTCAGGCATAAGGGACTTTGAAAAAAGAGTTGCAGTTTCCATGCTCTGATACTGGTTTATGTGGATTGGATAAACATTACACCGTTGCTCAGGAGGATTGAAATTACTTTGAATTTTACATTTGTAACATACTTGGCATTAACCTCTGCACTGACCCAAAAGGAAGACATCCCTGAATTTAAGATGAGCACCCCAAAGAAAAATTAATTAATTAACAAAACACATAGGAAAATCTTGTCCCATGCCTAGCTTCCCCTACTCCAGCTGAAGCCAGATTGCATAACAGATATGCAAAACATGCTATTATAATTCTAAAAACAGAGCATTCTAGGGAACACCAGAACATTCCATTATTTACCTGAACCATTTTTTTACCAGCCATTTTTGAGGGTGGTCAAACACTTTCTGGAGATACATTTTCCACAAAAAGACACAATTTTAAGATGGAATGCTATGCACCACTTCCTAATCTGGAAGATTTACTTTGATGATCTCTGGAATGGTTGAATCAGTGCAGTCCAAGTGAAGCATATGCTTTACAAATACCCACTGTGTATGTTGCGGGGGGGGGGCAGTATATGTCTATATGTATATAAATGTGTGTGTGTGTGCGCATGCATGTATACTTGCCAAATGCCACATTCCCAAAAGGGGCAATATATATCAGAAAAGCCCTAAATGGAAGTAATTAGCAGTACTTCAAAATAAAATGTATATTCTAAATCAAAGAACCCCTGAATGAAAGTAATAAATGGTATTTCAAATTCTCTTCTGTATTTGAGGATTCCTCCTTGACTTCAGAAGTATGTCTTCCAAGCTATTTTCCTGACTGGTACTACTATATCTTGCTGGCCACTCTCTTCTTCTGTGCTTTAGTCTCAGCTCCAGAGTGTTGAGCAGTAGCATCCCCATTAGATATAGCAGATGTAGGGTATCACTGCTGCTTCCTTTCTCCTGCTACAACTTGTGTCCAGTGCTGCCAGCCTGGACTATTGTGCCAGCTGGGGATTTTCCTGGGGCAAACCAGGCCAATTGGCAGGACTGTGAACAGGCATGAACATTGGTCCATCATGTTCAATCCAAAATCCAGGCAGCAGGGATTAAGGATAGTAGCTAGAGTTGGAACAGACGGCTTGCCATAATTATTCAAATATTATTTGCTGGAAACCAATTTTTCTTTAAGCCAGAGCCTACAAGGCTTCAACCAGACCAATCTGGGAAGAACTAGGTGTTTCTTCTGTTGAGCCCTTCATTTCTCTAGAATGATCTTCCTTGAAGGGAAAGAAGGTCCTCCCTCTTTCTGTTTATAGGAAAGGAAACAAGAGCTTCCTCTGTCCTCTTCAGCAAGGACTTTTCTTTGTGAGTTTATTTTATAGTGATTTTACATTATGTTCTTGGTAGCTCATAAGGCAGAAAGGCAGGACTGAAATGGAAATAAAATAACATAACATAACATAACTGAGATCTGTTCCTCATCTGAGCACTTCTCTCTTAGTACAGACTGTTTCCAGACCTCTCTGGAACTGGGTAGTGTTGCTTCTTCTTCTTTTTTCCCCCAGCCTCTGAAGTTAGTATGGGCCCCTCAGTTTCCACCCAGAAACAGCATCTTCTAAAGCAGTGTTGGTGGCATCTAGTTTGACATGTGATGAAACATCTTCTGACTGAAGCATAATAATAAGGCATAATGATATTATATCATCCCACAAATGAATAAGTACTCCAACAGTAGCTGAAGAAATGTCATATGTAACATGCAATCAATTGTCAGTTCTGTAAAAAAAAAAAAAGTGTAATATTGCTAAAGAAATACTCATTAAAATTCTTTACTGGTGACATAAAGTCATAAGCAGGTGAAAAGTAGATGTTTTTAGTTAGAAAATGAAACTTTCCTGTTTCATTTGGAAATATCTGATAGAGAATAAGTTTACAGTGACAACAGGATTAGAGAGAATTATATTGTCTTCCAACTAGATTTCAGTAGTTCAAATCATAGGTTCTAATAATAGAGAAGCTCATCTATGATACTGTTATTGCAACTTGTGATAATAATAATATTGTGATAATTATCTTTTGACATAACAGTACAAAATCCTGACATTGAATGGAGTGATGAAATTTTGAACCTACTATCTGTGATCTCTTAAATCCTGTGACACATTTGGTTTCTTTTCCCAAAGAGCAAGCCCCTACTTACCACCCATACTTAAGGAAAGCAGAGCTGTACTTGATGATGATTTTTCATTTCAAGTTTCTGATCAGCCCCACTTTCCCTGGATGCTAAATTTCGTGTCTTGTATTTGTTCAAATCTATTGTTAGATAGCAATTTTATTTTATTTTTTTAATAATTTTATTGCAGAAGTTTTTCAACAGAATTAAAAACAATACAAATTTTGAATTAAAGAATAAAGAAAAGTAATAAGAAATTGAAAAATATGTAGAAAAAGAAAAGAAAGGATTCTAAAGAAGTGGCTTCCAATCTTCTTGACAGTGCCTATAGGTACATTTATATTTTACCCTCTCTCTCTAAGGTTATATCATAATTTTCTTCTTTCCACAAGCTACCCTTTCTAATCTTCAAACTCATAAGTCACAAGTTCATTTTCCTCTCTTTTCAGCAAAAAGTCCACAAGGGGTTTCCAGTCATTAATAAGTAAGATAGCAATTTTAGAATTGTGTGTTTGTTGCTTGAAAATGGGCATGTTCATTTTATCCAAAAAATTATCTTTCTAATGGGTTAAAATCCTTAAGTGAGAGAAGTACAGAAGTTGTGTAGCAGTTGCTGAGAACACACTTCTAAGGACAGAGTTGGCAGCTGATGTCTTAATGATCACAAATGGAGAGAGAGAGAGAGAGAGAGAGAGAGAGAGAGAGAGAGAGGATTTTATCTGCATGTCTATTACTGCTTAACAGTAAAGTGAAGTGAGATAGTTTTTCAGCTGGGATTGGTTTGGGGAATAAGACAGTGGTGGGTTTTCCTGATACTCTTTGTGATTCATAATACTGCCAACTCTGATATACAGTACTGCCAACTCATCTTGCCAGAATGGAGCTTGTGTGCTCTGAATGCCAATTGTTGATGTTCTACCTAGGATACTCTTTAGAAAATGGTGCTAAGAAACTCTCTTTTGTCCCTTGCCCTTTTTGCTTGTTTCATCCTGTTTCCCAAAGCTTTTCAGCATGAAACTGCTGGAAGAAGTCAACCATATGTTTGTTACTCCAAAGAATAATTGCCTAGGATTACAGTATAGCTTTCTTGCTAGAGAATAGTGCCTTATTTTAAGTCATTCCATATCCTTTATTGAAAGAAGTATGTAATTTTCAGAGTTAGTTGTGCAGTTATA